CTCTTCCTTGAGTTGCTCTATTCCAGTGTCTAGACCTGCCTTAAGGAGAGGCTTCTGAGAATAACAGCTTCCCGTTGTCTTTGTGATGCCAGCCACGAAGGTGCTACAATTGGCCTCCCGCCTGGCTGTGTGGAGATGGCGGGCACAGGCTCTGGTCTGGCACCCAAATGGTTTTGGTCCTTACAGCGGTTGCCACATTGCCACAGGGGCTGTCCTGCCCACCCACAGGCCAGGGAAACCGCATGGATCAGCCCCTGGTCCTGAGGAGCCTCTGACGTAAATTCTTGACAAGGAATTGATCATATCCTCCTCTTGACTCGTGGTTCTTACCTTTTTTGTTTTGGGACAGATTCTTGATATGTAGTGCAGGCTGACCTTGAGCACGGCAATCCTGCCTCAGCCTCCGAAACGCTGGGGTGATAGCTATGCGCCACCACATCCACTTTGCTTTGTGGCTTTTCAAGACAGGGTCTCACTGTGTAGCCCAGGCGGGCCAGGAACTCAAAGTGATCCTCTTACCTCAGCCTCTCCAGTGCTGGGACTGATTTGTTTATAAAACATGACTTGGACATGACATGCCAAACCTATAACCCCAGCACTCTGGGAGGCTGAGGCAGAAGGATTCACATTTGAACACAGCTTGGGCTCAAACTGAAAATAAGAGATCAAAATAAAATGGGCTTGGGGCCAGGGAGATGGCTCAGTAGAATAAGTGCTTCCCTGGCAAGTGCAAGGGCCTGAGTTCAATCCCCGGTTCTGCAAAAATAAATAAATAAATAAATAAATAAATAAAAAAACGGGCTTGAGATACAGCTCAGTGTGAAGGCCCTTGGCTCAACCTTCCATTCTGCAAAAAGAAATAGATGTATAATATTTGTATTTTTTGAGTTATGAAGTTCAATTTAGATTTGAACTCATTATGTAGCCCAGGCTGGCTTTGAACCTATGGCGACCCTCCTACTTCAGCCTCCCAAGTCCTGGGGTCAGAGGTGTGTGCCGACGTTCTTGGGTACTACAACACCTAAACCTAGGTTTTTCCAAGATGCAGCACAAATCAGTCCCTAAAGCTCACTGTTTCTTAACTGGTTCCTTGGTTTCCTCTAAGCGTTGATCTCCTGCTTAACCTTAACAATGCTGAGGTACATGTCCGATTGTCCCACCAAGTGGTACAAATTAATCACTTTTGTGGCTCTTTTTACTAATAAAATAAAAAGTTCATGGGTGGGACAGGCACGCCCGTACCACCAGTGGTTCAAGCTGCCGGGCAGCAAGACACAGAAATGAAGGCCCCGTCATGAATGTGCTCATGACTTCCTCTGAGCCAGGCAGAGTGGAGCATATCTGCAATCCCAGAGCTTGGGAGGCCGAGGCAGGAAAGTTGCTGTGAGTCTGAGGCCAGCCTGGACTACGCAGTGACCACACACAGTGAACAGAAGACTTGTCAAATTACAATAGAAACCTGGAACAAAATAGTACAAAGCCATTAAAAACCATGTACATCATTTATTATCACAATAAATAATTCATAGCAAATGTCTGCATGAAAACCCCAGGTACAGAGCAGCACAGGGGAAGTGATTCCGTCTATGCAAACCCCAGACACCCATGTGCTCCTGGGCAGATAGGTACCTGCACTGGGCGGGGCCGAGGGTAATCAGAGAGGACTGGGGATGGCTTCCTGTTTTTGTTATAATAAGTAATTATGATTTTTACAAAACACTGAAATTGGAGATATAATGACCTGGGCAGGCCTGGAGATTGAACTCCAGGCCCCTGCATCTACCTAAAGCAGGTGCTTTAATCCGCTGAGCTATTTGGCCAGCCCTGCAGCTATTTAATTAAAAAAAAAAACAGACATTTTTAAAGTAGATGAAGACATCGGGCACACCTCACTCTCCTTTCCAGCAGCGGCACAGCTGCTACACGGTGACAGGCACATCCCTGAGGTCCCCAGCCTGCTCTGGCCTGCAGAGCCACTCAGCCCCTGGCTCCCAGTGTCCAGCTCCTTCCTGTCACCACTGGCTGTCACCGTGGCAGCTCTCTCCAACCACTCTCCCAACAAGGTTCAAGCCCAGGGGCAGCAGAATGGTGCCCGCAAGCACCCCGAAGGACATCAGAGTCCCCCAGGGGGTCACCTGTGCAGTCAGCATATCTGTCTGGCCACACCAGCCTCAAAACACAGAGGAGCACCTTTTGAGAGATGACGCCAGACGCCCACCGGAGGAGGCCCAGCTAGGCCTTCAGCAGCGCGACCTGATGTTCTGGGACGGAACCCTCACAGCTGTTGTAGGGCTCCGTGCCTGGCTCCTGCCTCAGGTATTTCTCTGCAAAAAAAAAAAAAAAAGTCTCTTTTTTTATCCAGTAGTGGAGATGGAACTGATCACTTCCACACTGAGCTACTTTCACAGGGCTTTTTTATTTTAAGACCGGGTATTGGTCCAGCAAGATAGTCCAGTGGACTAAGCTACTTAGGCAAGCGTAGGGACCAGGGTTGGATTCCCGACACCACATGCTGCACATGCACTGAGCCAGACACCAAGTCCAGGCATGGTGGTACACGCCTGTAATCCCAGTGCTGGGGAGGTTAAAATAGGAGGATCACTACAAGTCCAAGCTGTGTAATGAGACCCTGTACCAAATACATTAAAAAAAAAAAAAAAAGACAGGGTCTTGCCATGCTATAAAATTGCCCAGGCTAGAGTTGAACTTTTAATTCTCTTGTCTCAGCCTTCCAGAGTGCTGGGATTATAGATGTACGCTTCTAAGCCCAGTTTATTTTATCTTTTTTAAAGACAGGATCTCACTGTGCAGTTCAAGCTGGCCTTGAGCTCACTTATAGCCCAGGCTGGTCTCAAATTTGCAATGATCCTCCTGCCTCAGCCTCCGGAGTGCTGGATTACAAACGTGGGCCACCATGGCCAGCCTAAACCCAGTTTAAAATAACAAGCACAGAAAAACTAGACCTGAAAACTAGTCAGTTTGGGGAACAGACTCAAAGAGGCAGGCGCTTGGGGCTCAGCTCCCAGGGATCGAAGGCTGCCCAAACCAGCACCTGGAGCTGTGCCAAGAGCCCACTTGTCTCCGGGCTCCTCACTGCTATCTGGGAGTGCTGAGGGATCCTTCCAAGAGTGTACCCCAACTGGTGCAGCCTTCTGTGGCCAGCCCCAGCTGCTTCCAGCAGCAAGACACATGCATCTCAGAAGACAGACCAAGCCCAAGAAGCAGACAGAAAGCTCACAACTCCAGAGCCCACCCTCTAAAACAGGCAAATCCAACTTGAGGTAGCAGAAAGGAGAACACCGGCTCATCAGGGGTGTGGGGGCTGAGGGCATGAGACCTTTCTAGAGTGATGGAAACATGTTACTCTGATTGATGGATAAGCAGGTGGGACACTGATACCCTCTGCTCATCTGTGCTTAAACATCCCCTCCAACGTGTACCCCTAAACAAGCCCCAGCTAGAGATGGCCTCGGCTCACCTCTGGCCCTGCACCCTTTTGGTTCCAGCTCTACCCCCTGCCCCTTATGCTGTCTTGGGGACTGGGTGTCCCATTCCCCACCCCTTCTTTCCTGATCTCCCAGTGCTGCCCTGTTCTGCTGATCCCTTGAAGGTAGACATGCTGGCGAATGTCCCCTGTGCCCACCTGCCTCCTCCAGGGTGGGGAAGTACTGGAACCCCTTCAAATCAGCAGCCAGCAGGATGCGGAGCACAGGCGCCTGTGGAACAGACACGCTTCAGTCCAGGGCAAGGTGCTCTGCTCCTGATGGGCACAGGGCAGGAGACTTGGTGGAGGCACTGAGCATTCTGGGACATGCCGTACCCTCACCACACAGGGAACAGGGAGAGAAAGGCAGGCTCCAGTGGGCTGCTGCCAGAGCAGTTTTCTATATGACTGGCCTCCAAAGACCACCAAGTTGGGCACTGCAAACCATTCAGAATGCAACGGCTGCAGCTGTCGGGCCAAACAGCCTGAAACCAAAGTCTCAGTGCCGAAGAAAGCATGTCAGGGATGCAGCGTGGCACTAAGGGCCAGGGAGACGGAGGCCACATTGAGAACTGCTCTGAGGATGGGGTCCACAGCTCCCTGTTTTAAAGGGAAGCAGATGAAGGTCAGATGGGTTGAGAACCTGCCCAGGCAGAGGTAGAGCCACAGCACTCAGTGCCAGAGCCATCTGTCCTTGGGATGGCATCACAGCTCCAGAATGTCCCAGTGGACCAGGCAGGAGGACAGCTGCCAACACACCCATCCTGTAACATGGGGCTGGCTTGCCTACCTGCAGGCCCACGAACACCAGGGAGATGTCCTGCTTGCGGAAGTCCTCGAGGAGCCCAGCCAGGCCCAGGACCACAGTGTAGTCAATGCTGCAGACATGGGAGCACTCCAGAACTGCAGAGCGTGGCAAGGACACTGGGGACACAGGCCAGGCTGTAATGCTGCTGTGTGGCAAATACAACAAGGGCAAGGCCAGCAGCACCAAGTCACGGCCAGGGGATCAGGGTGGAAGGACCTGCAGGAACAGCTATTTGGTGAAGGCAGTAGCTGCTTCCTAAGAACAAGAGCTCCTTGCCTGCCCTGAACATCTCCTCTGGGCACCATGGCCCTTGCTGAGGCAGCAAGGAAAGGTCCTGGGGCTGAACGCCCACTGGGGACTGTCCCAGCCCCAGGCATGCCACTCAAAAATGCTCAAGACCTCACAGTCCCGAGAGCAGAGGGGTAGCTCTCAGGCAGGTGGGGACTGGGCTTTGGGTCCTCAAGAGCCACAGTGGAAGGGACATCTGTATGCATGTTGACTGTGGCCCACTGCTGGCTAACACGTACCTTCCAGGGCCTGATTCAGTATGGTGTCCCGCAAGGCCTCAATGGTAGGGAAGTGCAAACCGCTGGCTGGCTGTAGGACAAGGACTGGCCCCTCTGAGACCTAGGAAGGAGGAGGAAAGAGTAGACCTTCAGGGTGAGGGGACAGGATGGCCCCCACCAGGCTTTGCCTATCACAAGCAGGAAGCCACAATCCAAGCCCAGTGCACTGGAGGGGACAGAGGTGGGGGGTGATGGGAGTCCCCCCACCTCCAGGGACCAGGCATAGCAGGAAGGCATAGTGGCTTTTAACGAGGCAAGGTTCACCTGCGGCAGTGTCAGAGACCACAGTCACCCTCAATTCAAGAGAAAAGGAAGAGTCCTGAGCCCCACCCACAGGTATTCCCTCCCAGCCAGCACCTGGACCTTGGGCCTGGCCACGGAGTGCAGGAGGAGCAGCATAGACACCAAGGTCCCCGCCAGGATGCCATACTGGACCTCCCAGAAGCACAGCAGGAACGTCACACAGAGGGGCAGCAGGTCCAGCCCTAGGAGAGGACTCAGCTGAAGGGCGCCCCCTCCTGGCTGATCACCCACACTGCTGCCTGAGCCCTAGTGCTCCCTAGTAGGTGATCACAGACCCTAGGCAGCCCCTGCTCCTGGGACTCAAGGACCGAGCTTTGAGTCACAGCTGGTCAGAGGAAGGCCAAGGTCACAGGGAGACAAACAACTGACCCTACTGGGAGGGTCCCAGGCCCCCAACTGCAGGGAGAACAGTGGGGGATTTGTTGGGGGCCCATGAAGGAAAGACAGAAGCTGAGAAGGGGTAGCAGAGATCAGGGGACCCTTAGAGACCACACAGGGTTCTTGGCTGAGGCAGCAGTGGGGAGGGCATGCATGAGTTTGGCGTCAGCCCCAGATACAATTCAGACAATCTCACCCTCCTTGAGCCTCAGTTTCCTTCGGCAGCATCTATTACGTTCCACACAGGCCAAGTAAGATATTTCAAGGCTTCCCTAAAGGAGAGCTGTAGCACACTACCCGGAGGCCCTGGCGCTTTATGCAACGATCATCCCTCGTGCTGTGTGCTCAACAAAAGGAGCCAAACTACACAAATCATTAGAGGTCTTCCATTAAGAAAACACAGGAATGTGTTAAAGAGAAACTGAGGGTTCAGGGTACCCCAGGGGTTGCCCAGAGAAATGGCTTGAGATATCGCCTGGCCTTCAGGGGCAGCTCCCAGAGTTCACTGGCTCCAGGCCCCACTGACCCACAGGAAGGGGGATAAAGGATGCCCTCAGCTGTCACCGACATCGTGCCATGTGCTCCCTGCTGGGCACCTATGCACTGGAGATGAACTCCTTGTGGACTCATAACGCTGGGCACATACGTACTCTTAACCCGCCACAGCGTCCCAAAGATCTTGGTGTCAAACAGCGGGGCCACAGCCATGATGATGACAGCAGCGAGCGCGGCCTTGGGAATGTAGTAGAAGAGCGAGGTCAGGTAGTCCAGGGACAGCAGCACCAGCACACCTGCAGACCAGAAGGGCATTACCTGGAGCCTTCAGAATGGACGGGGTGGCACGGGTACCTGCGCCATCCCAAGAGGACACAGCCACACACCCAAGCAGACCTGGTAGCCCACCCAGAAGGTATGGCCCTTTAGGAGCCCTCATCATAGTGGGTATTAGGGAAAGTGGGGGCTCACCGGTCACCAGGCCCCCTGCAGGGGTGCACACCCCAGACTGGGCATTCACAGCTGTCCTGGAAAGGCAACAGAGAACTGTGAAGCCTTTGGTCCCAGCACAGCAGAGGGAGGCTTCTGCCTGCGTGCATCAGTGGGCGATCCTCCAGGAGACCTAGGCTGGGGGCTGGGGCACCGGGCCAGGGAGTGCCTTAGGATAGACACTGTGCGCAGTACACATCCTTACTGCTTTAACACTCATTGTTCCTTCCATGTGTTGGGAACTTTCTAGATCTAAGTGCAGCACTGAGAACACAGACGCTGTTCTGGAGGGCAGGGCCAGTCCCTTCCGGCTTTACCATAGCTGAGTTCACTGCTGACCAAAGGGCACACTGGCAGAGATGAGCAAGAAGAGTGTGAACATGGGCCAAGGGGCCCAGGCAAGGCGGAGGGGATCCCGGAGCTGGGAGAGGGAAGGGCATGCACACTCACCGCCCAAAGCTGCCAGTGATTGGGTAGGACGAGATGAAGGAGCCCAGCGTATTGGTGAGGCCTAGGGAGCAAGGAAGACATTGACTGGGAGTGGAGGGGGATCACAGGCCAGAGATGGGAAGGCGGAAGGCAGAAATCTGAACCAGGACAGGAAGAGGAGGAGGGAACGATGGGGCACCTGCGTCAACCCCAGGCACTCTTCCAGGAAGGAAAATATAGGCCATGAGCCGTATCACATCTGCCCAGATGCCATCAGGCTTTGTGGAGCTGAGGTGGGAATCCACGGCCTCGTGCTCACTAGGCAAGTGGCCCATCACTGAACCACAGTCCCAGCCCTGTTTAGCCCTAAAGAAGTCACTGTGGACCCAGCCTTGCCTCATGGCTCCAGTATGCCTCTCCCTGCACTTGTCTGCGCCGTCGGATCTGTGCTGTTATTCTCCTGCTGCTGCTGCTGCTGCTGCTGCTGGTAGACATAGCGCATGCTACTTATTTTATTACATCATGCGCCAGGATCTTGCTATACAGCTCAGGCTGGCCTTCATTCGTGTAGCCCGGCCTGATCTTGAACTTGCAGTCCTCCTGCCTCAGCCATCCTAGGGCTGGGATTACAGGGATGTGCCATCATATCTTGCTAAGGGTGCATCATTTTTGAAGTCATGGGAATGGGGGGTTCTGAGAAATCACAACTGCGACGTTCACTGGGGGGGGGCTCTTGGGGGAGTCTGTGGACCTCTCAGAGAAGGCTGCTAGAGTGGGAGCCTCCACATGCGTGGTGCTCAAGTCCAGACCTGACCCTGAAGCTGCCAGGTGCTACCTGCTTACTGTTCCCATCCCACCATGGAAGAAGGACAGGCAGGAGCAGGCTCGTGACACACTGGCACTGTAGTGGACCCAAACTTAAGATTCATGCTACTATGTCCCCAAACATAGTAGAAAAGTCAGCTCACAAAGACAGAACAACTCACAACTGTAAAGTCAGCACAGAGCCCTATCAACAGGCAGGCAGCCTGGGACACCTGTGCCCTTACCAGCCATAACCCCCAACTCATGCAGGTGGGAGGTCACAGAACAGGGACAGGCATGCTCAAGCGGCCTGGCAGCACCCTTTTACTCCCGGCTGATGCTTCCCAGAGGCTGAGCACTCCCAGGTGGGTATTCATGAGGCTCCAGACCTCAGGGGGTCCTATCCAGCAGGTGCTCAGTACGTAGAGTCCTGGACCACCTGTGAGCTCCCTATGCCCAGGGACTGAACAGAACCTTCAGGACACCTGAGTAGGAGTCCGTAAGCCCCACTGGCTCACCACAACCATTGCCACACTCGGCAGAACTCAGTGAGACACGGAGGCTCCCAGCCTGGAAGGGGTCTCACCAATAGCCAGAAGCTCCTGGTTGGCGTCCACACGGTAATCGTTTTGAGATGCTAAAGAGAATGGATAACACAAACACTGTCACCAGATACACAATATTACTAGGAAAGTGTGTATAAAATAAATAACAGGTTCACATTTCTGTGCATGTTTGGCATCGTTCATGCTTTGCAAAAATTAGTGTTTAACTCACACCTAATTTTAAAAATCCAAAATCTGACACGTTTCAAAACCAAAACTTTCTGGGTGCTGATAAGACCTTCAAGTCATTTTGCAGCTTGGCATGGTGGCCTGCGACTATAACTCCAGCTTTCTGGGAGGCTGAGGCAGGAGGTCACAAGTTCCAGCTCCGCCTGGGCAATTTGGCAGTTTAGTAAGACTCTGTCTCAAAAAGGGGTGGGAAAGTAGCTCAGTGCTATAGGTTCAATCCCCAGTTCCAGAACAATGTAAGAAAAGAAAGAGTTTTAGATTTCTGAATTAGGATGCTCAGCCAGTAAAGCCTATAAAAAATATTCCAACATCTAAAAACCTCCCAAATCTAAAACACTTGTGGTCCCAGGTATTTTCTTCTATTTTCACACGTGTGTGTCAGAGAGTACAAAGGCGGAAAGTAAAATGTTAACAGCAGCCAGAGGGAGCAGGAAAAGCGATGACGGGTGATCTAGCTCATCTTTATATCTGCTTTTTCCACATTTTCTACAACAACTTTATATATATTTTTCTTTGTTTGTTTGTTTGTCGACAGGGTCTCACTATGGAGTGCACCCTGGCCTCACACTCACAGCCCTCCTCCTGCCTCAGTGTCTGTTACTCTTCTCTCATTGCTGGGACAAATACCTGACACCCAAAAGGAAGGAAGGAAGGGTTTATTTAGCTCACAGTTACTGGACGTTTCAGTCCACACTCAGCTGGCTCCAAGGCACAGTGCACATGGTAGAGGGCAGCTTTTCATGGTGGTGGCAAAGAGCAAAGACAAAAGGGAGTGGCAGCAGCTCAGGCAGCTAGCCAGCCTCTCTCTCCACCCGCCTTACATTGTAATGCAAATTACCTGCCCCAGGGTGGGTGCAGCATCCACACCCACAATAATCAGTCGCAAACTCCAGAAGCCCCCCATGACTGCATGAGGCTTGGGGGGGGGGGCGGTGATAACTAGACACAAGCCATAATACTCAGCCTCCCAAGGATTATAGGTATGTGCCACCACACCCTGCTATATTATTTCTATATGAGGAGAAAAGCATCCTAAGATAACATCCCTCTGATGTCAAGTGGAGATGGCTAGAAAGCCAAAGATCAGGCCATGGCAGAGAGATGAACAAGTCAAGATTTCGGGGGAAGGCCCCGGCCCGGCCACAGTGCCCGGCGGCCAGGTGACAGCAGAGCCAGGCACGCGTGCGTCGCTCGGGGGGCGAATCGCGCGGCACCCCTCCCCTGTGTTCTGCCCCTCCCGTCCTGTCCAGTCGCATCGCGTATGTCCCGTCCGGAGCCGTCCCTTAGGTTGCCACCGGTGGGTGCCGATGCCAGTCGTCTGCTGCGGGGGCAGCTCTTGACTCTGGTCCCTGTCCACTGCCCTGCCGTCCCTCTCGTGGGGCCAGCCGCTGCTGCGGCCCCAGGATGCAGAACGTGATTAACACAGTGAAGGGAAAGGCGCTGGAAGTGGCCGAGTACCTGATCCCGGTCCTCAAGGAATCAAAATTTAAGGAAACAGGTGTAATCACCCCAGAAGAGTTTGTGGCAGCTGGAGATCACTTAGCTCATCACTGCCCAACATGGCAATGGGTTACAGGAGAAGAATTAAAAGTGAAGGCATACCTACCAACAGGCAAACAATTTTTGGTAACCAAAAATGTGCCATGCTACAAACGCTGCAAACAGATGGAGTATTCAGATGAATTGGAAGCTATCATTGAAGAAGATGATGGTGATGGAGGATGGGTAGATACATACCACAACACAGGTATTGCAGGAATAACTGAAGCTGTGAAGGAGATCACATTGGAGAATAAGGATAGTATAAAACTCCAAGATTGCTCAGCACTGTGTGAAGAGGAAGAAGAGGAAGATGGAGAAGCTGCAGACATGGAAGAATATGAAGAAAGTGGATTATTGGAAACAGATGAGGCTACTCTAGATACAAGAACAATAGTAGAAGCTTGTAAAGTTAAAACTGATGCAGGAGGGGAAGATGCTATTTTACAGACCAGAATTTATGACCTGTATATTACTTACAATAAATATTACCAGATCCCACGACTATGGCTGTTTGGCTATGATGAGCACAGCAGCCTTTAACAGTTGAGCACATGTATGAAGACATCAGTCAAGATCATGTGAAGAAAACAGTGACCATTGAGAATCATCCTCATCTCCCACCACCTCCTCTGTGTTCTGTTCACCCATGCAGGCACACTGAAGTGATGAAGAAAATCATTGAGACAGTTGCAGAAGGAAGGGGAGAGCTTGGGGTTCATATGTATCTTTTAATTTTTTTGAAATTTGTACAAGCTATCATTCCAACAATAGAATATGACTACACAAGGCATTTCACAATGTAACGAAGAAAATATAGAATCTGTCCTAATTATTCTGATTTTTAAAGAATTAGTGCATAGATGTGACCATTGACCGTATTTACCAATATGTATAATTTCTTTAATAAAGGGAGTTACATATGTTTATGCATTAAATAAAAAAGTTCCACTACTAAAAAAAAAAAAAAAGATTTCGGGGGAAGCCACAGGACATGAGCCTAAGACAGGTGAGCACACACCCCAGCTGTGCAGCTACAGGGCTGTCATGGTCCTCCCTCTAGCGCTGCGGAGCAGGTAGGCAAATAAGCCGGGCTGTGCTTCACAAATGCCACTCTAGAGCATTGGTATCTTAAAGCTCACAGATGTCCCACGTGTCATAAAACACTATTTTTTCCCAATCATTTAAAAGATGTAAAGTTCATTTTTAAATAAAAAAGTGGTGGGAAGTAAGAGAGACGACAGGCCAAGGTTTACCAAACCGAGATTAAAGAGAATGACAGGCAGGCTGTCAAGTGCCTTCAAAGGAAGTGGCTCCAGGAGGCTGAGGCAGGAGGATTGCAAGTTCAGGCTACGCTGGGGCAACTTAGAAATATCTTGTCTCCTAGTAAAAAAATTAAAAAATGAGCTGGACATATAGCTTAATGCAAAAGCTCCATGTTCAATCAGTACTTAAAAAAAAAGTACGTAATAAAGAGTAAAGACCATGAGATGAAGATCTGGAGAAAATACTGTGGCTCTTTTTCCAACAACAAAGAGATGATCAGAGAAATCAAAATTGAATAATAAAGACATGAGCTGTACAGAACTAATGGAGACATGGTATGGTTTTGAGCAATTGTTGAATCTGGAAAACTCTTCTGAATGGACCTTTGGATGGACTGAGGGGCAAAGCACTGGGCTGTTGGAGAAATTTAGCCTGGCATGCCCAGGGCTGGGCAGGAAACATAAGACAGGGAGTCAAGAAAATATATACTGCTAGTTATTCTTGTGGACTTTTTTTTCTGGTGCTGGAAATGGAACCCAGAGCCTTGTGCATGACAGGCAAGTACTCTACTGCTGAACTATCATTAACTGAGCTTTCATCTTCAGAACCAACCTATACTTGCAGGCAAGGAAGACTCGGTTATTGCAGACCAGAATGAAAGCGATACCCAAGCTGATAACCCAGAGCTGGAAGCACCGGTGACCTCAGTGAGAAAGGGTGACAATGACAGATTTAACAACTTCACCTTAAAAAAGAGGGTGCTGGGTAAGATGCTGAATTAGAACTAGGCACCTAGCAGGTGAATACTTCCCTGCCTCCAAAGCAAGAGGTGAGGAAAGATGCCTCCAAGTGCTAAGCCAGCAGAACAGACGCTGTGAGATTTTCAGGGACGCCATGAACCTGTTATTCAGCATAGCTTAATTAAACTGAATTAGAGCCAATTGAGTTATAACCTTTAGTTACATAAATTAGACTACAAATAAAGATACAACAGCTCACTGCTTTTTGACATTTTACTGTTACCAGTGAGGTTACCTACGTCTACCACAAGCAACTATAGGCAGATGTGATGGAGAAATCCAGAAAGGTACCTAACACGCAGCTCATTCCAACTTGGTATTTATGTTCCACATTCAGGGATACCTTCCTCAGCTTTAGAATCAGTCACAGGGGGAGCATTTGCAGCCCACAAAATGGCAACAGCAGAGCCTTCACCCTACCCCTTTGCTACTGAACAGAGTCTAAGGAACACTGAGGTACATCCCCAGCCCTTTTGTGAATTTTTGAGACAGGGTCTCACTAATTTGCCTAGACTGTCCACTTTGATCCTCCTGCCTCAGCCTCCCAAAGAGTTGAGATTACAGGTATGTGCACCCCTTTACCTCCGCACCCCACAGCCAGCCAAAGCAGGGTCCACACAGAGGAGGCTGCTGGAATACAGACGGCACACTGCGACATGGCTTCACATTACAGATCCAATGTTACCAGACACAGTGTGTGTACCTTACCCAAAACAACTGGACCTGGAAGTGTTTCTGGCTCTTGAGTTCTTCAGATTATGGAATATTTACATAGACCTTATTGGTTAAGAGTGCTTCAACCTTTACCAGCTGGGTATAATTCAAGTCAACTGAAGGTTTCAGATTTTAGATTTTTAGGTTAGCGATATCCAACCCACCCTGACAGACACATACTCTATTTTAAACCATGAGCCGGGGGATGCATCACGGAGGTGCAAACAGGTGCAGGTGGCAGGTGTCTTACCGAAGGCCTTGGCCACCGCGATGCTCTCCAGCAGCCCTATCAGGGGCACCACAGCCAGCCCCGCCCCCATGTCCTGGGAGAGGAGACAGAGGAGACAGAGGAGACGGTGAGGGCCTTGCTGTCTTCAGGAAGAGAGAGGCAGGTCTGGCCCAGCAATGCCCTGCCCTGGGGGACCAGCTCATCCCCAAGTGCGCACACAGAGTGCACTGCAGCTGCAGGGGAGTGTGCATACGAGGCAAGAAGACACCTTCTTGTCGAGAAAGGAGCAAGATATCAAGGAGAGCCTGAAACTACGCCTTGCGCTGGTGTCTGAAGGTGGGCTACGGGGCTCTCCAGAGCAGGCACACAAGGGGATGCCCAGGATATTGTGTCCAACCTGGGCTTCCTCCCTAACTGCCGCCCGCAGGGGCTGCCTGCCCATCCTCATCAGGTTGGAACCTCCTATCACTGAACAGAGGCATTGGGGACCCGGAGCCAGATCTAGGGCCACCACGGCCTGGCCAACTCCCATCTCACTCACCTGCACCATCTCGGTGAAGGAGGCAGTCCCATTGGCCGTGCTCACCGAGAAGGGAGGGACTCGCGCAGGAGGAAGTCCCTTGGATATCTCCCCAGTTAGAATGAAAGGCCGGTGTCCAGTCACCTCGAAGGAATACGCAACCAGGGCCGCAAAGGAGACCACCAGGGCATTGCGAGCTGGGACAGAGGGAACACAAGTGAGACCGGGCTGGACACACACAGGAAAGCAGCAGGGCAGGGACTGGCGTTCCTCCTGCCTCCAGACTTATGGGATTACAAGTGCGTACCACCACAGTTAGCTAGCATTTTGACATCTAGGAAATCTTTCTCAGCCGGGTGTGATGACATGTATCTATAATCCCTCCATTTGGGCATCTTATGCAGGTGCATTTCAAGTTCAAGGCCAGCCTGGACAGCCTAGTGAGACTGTCTTAAAATCAAATATTTTTAAAATAAAGAGCTGAACATGCAACCTGCTAGTACAACATTTGCCCAGCATGCATGAGGCCCTGGGTTTAGCCCCCAACACTAGCAAACAACCACAAAAACTATTCTCACTGGTGGAAGACTGTCCCTCCCAGGGCTAGACAGATAATTCTTAGAGATAACAAAGGGTCTCCTCATCTAGAGCTGCCTTTCCCCCCACCCCCCGCCTGAGCACCCTGGAGACAATGCCCTCTGCCTGGGTCGTCCTGGGACTGGGTGCTACCCCTACAGCTGGAAGCCCACTAATATCCAGTGGCCACTCCTACTGTTGGGCATACCCAGCCTAAGGAACTACAATCAAAGCTGCAGCCTGACTCTCCCCAGAGTTCCTCCTCTTGACCACACACTGGGGGCTTTCTGAGCATGCCTATGATCCTAGGCTCTGTTAAAAAAATAAACTTCAGGTTTTTCCCAAGCCTCTCAGGTCTCCTCCTGACAGACCCTGCCATGAAGTATAGACTATACCCTGGGGGATTCACAGGGTCTGAGGGCAGCTCACAGCCACACTTAGGCTGAACCCCAACTCCAGTGTGCCTGGGGATCCCCTGGAAGTGAGCAGGGACCTGAGAGTCCCTTTCCAGCATTCTCACAGCTTCACAGAACAGGGTGATTTTCACTGCTTCATGGATGCTGAATGAAAGCCCAGACTTCAGGGAGCAGCTCTGCAGGGTGGAACCCAGGCAGGAAGTAACATTTCCATCCTACACTACTGTTCAGCCCATACCAAGCTCCCTACACTTACCTCCCGCCTTGAGGCTGGGGGACAGAACCTGGTGGGTGATCACAGTGCTTTGGGGACCAGCCTGGGCCGATGGGAGTGACCCAAGCACCAACCCCAGCTACTCCCTTCTCTCACTGCTATTGATTTCCTGCCTGCCTCTCATCAACAGCAGGGCCACATTCAGGTCACATTCACTCTTTGTAAGAGTAGAGATGACACTGCTGTCCTCTCCTCTGCATGCCGTCCACTGTGTGTGTCACCCATTAGCCACCCTCCCCCGAAATGGCCCTGAGCAGGCCACAGCTGGGCCACGCCCTTACCACCCTGCCCCAGCCTTTCCCACAGACCCTGTCATTCACTCAGCTGCACACCCCATGCCCAGGGCTAAGCTTTTCCTCCCAGCAAGTGCACCGTCAGAACACAACCTCTGCAGGTAGTGGAACTTGCTCTCTCTCCCACTGATCCTGTAAGGGAGGGAGTTTTTCAAGCCTGGGTACTGCCAATGGTTTCAGCCAGCTGACTACACTGTGGGATGCCAGCAACAGTTTCCCCAGATGGTATCACCCAAAGATGTCTCCTAACGTTGCCCAATGTCCCTTGGAGGCAAAGTCACCTGTGCCTGAGAATTCCCAGCACTGCGGGCAGAGCAGAATTATCTACGAGCCAGGCATGGTGGTGCACGCCTTGTAATGCCAGCACTCAAGGAGGAATTTCTAGACAAGGGCATCCCAAGTTTGAGTTCAGCCTGGCCAACTTAATGATTTAGTGAGGGCCTGTTTCAAAATAAAAAATAAAAAGGGCTAGGGCTGTAGCCAGTGGGATATCCTAGGTTCAGTCCCCCTACCAACAAAACAAAGCAAAGCAAAACAACGTAACAAAACCACCTGTAAGTTTCTAGCATCCCAATGCCCAAGTCACTCCCAGGCCAAAGAACCACTAAGGGCTGGGACTCGGGGCTCCTCAAGTGACCTCCTTGTGCTGCCCGGGTTCATCAGCCAAGAGACTCCTTACCTGTGGCGGCAGTCCACACCAGCCCACAGCTGAGCCGCACGCCCAGGGCCATCTCAGGGCGGACAGGAGGCATGTGGTCCCGCATCAGCTTCAGTACAAGCAGCAGTACCATGCAGACCAGCCCCAGGATGGCATCGCCCACCCTGCAGGCAAAAGGATGGGTCACCACCCAGCTAGGCAGCCAAGGACACCTCCTGCTGGACAGTTCTCTCTCTGCCCTTTCTGTCTCCTAAATAATCCTCAGCCCTAGTGATTTCAAAATTGTATTCCCATCTCAGTAAGGGCCCAGCCCTGGACAGGACCGGGAGCCAGGAGGTCCCATCACCATCGCAACGGGACTGCTACCCTGTGTTTGTAGGCATGTCATCCTCTGGGCTACAGATGCAGGAGACTCCAGACTACACAATCAGTGACTGAGGCCCCTTGCACCTCAATCTGGCCCTCTCAGACCAGCCAGTGTCCATTTCCATGCCCCCAGGAGGCTGACCCTGACTCAAGAGGCAGGGAGCCCACTAGCTCCTGGTGCTGAAAAGAGGTGGCAGCAGACAAGAGGAGAGAGGAGTTTCAGGCCTGGCCTACTTCCTAGGCCACCTCTTACTTCCCTCAAACTCCTCCTCTGTTCAGGCAGGAGAGTAGAGGATACACTCGCTACAATGCCACTTGGCGTCTGCCTGTCTAACCCACCGCCTGGCGCTGTGCCACTGCTGCTCTGGGGGCCTGTGTGAGCAACAGGCCCAGATGAAACAATCCCACCTGGGGTGGAGACAGAGGTAGAGGGTGGGAAGGGACCCTACAAGGAAGAGCATCCTCATCTGGGGGAGAAAAAAGCCAACAGGGTACCTGGTCTCCGTGATGCTGCGGAAGGTGCGGTATACTTGCAGGAAGAACTGGCTGGGGATGTTTCGCAGACCCAGCAGGTTCTGTTCAGACAGAATCCGTTAGAACCTGCCCAGGGCTGGTGGTGGGGCTGGTGTCTCTCCATCCACTCTGCCCCTACTTTATCCCTGCCTTTTGCTTGAAAAGGATCCTATCTGCGGTCCTGGACCCCCATGGCTATCTCTGGTCACACAACGTGTGACCCCAAGGCAGGAGATAAAGATATCTTGGGGAAGCCAACACCTGGTTTTTGGGACAGTGGCACATTTCAAATGAAAAACTAGTTTGGGCCACTCCAAAGCAGAAGACCGGGATCCACAGCTGAGCAGTTGGACAGCCTGGGGACCTTGGCCACACCTCCCCGTACCTCCCTCTGACCACCATTGGTCAAAGAGCTCTGCCACTCTGGACTTTGGCCCCTGCTGACAAAACATTATGTCTAGGCCAAGACAGGCAGAACCAACAGCTCCTCAGGGCTGTCTGAAAAGGCATGGGGGTCCCAGCCAAGTCAGGGCTTCGCACATTGATCAAATCCCTCGGGGTCTTCAGGAGGGAAAAGGGCCTTCATTCCCTGCTTTCTTTTCCTGTGTGAGGGTATATGAGAGGTGGACTAACCAGGGCACCCTAGGATCCTCACTCAACAACCAGTGCAAACACTGAGGTAGGGGACCTGGGATAGTGGACACTGATTGATTTTTGGATTAGGGGTAGCTTATGTCCAGGGCGTGTCAGATGGCCACACATTATGATCGAATCAAAGTTTCTAAAACTGGGAGTAGGGTAATGTTACTGAGTAGGAATGACAGGGTTCCCTCCACTGGCGCTAAAAACTTTTTTTTTTTTAAACTGGGTGTGGTGGAACCCATGTATAATCCAAAAATGCAAAGGTAGGAGAATCTTAAGTGTGAACCCAACTACTATGATGTAATTAATTAGTAAGACCCTGTGTCAAAATTTTTTAAAAGGTCTGGAGATGTAGCTCAGTGCAGAGAATCTTGGTTCAACGCCTAGTGCCATAGGAAATAGTAAATAAAAAAGAACATTTTGGGGGCTATCAAGATAGCTCAGCAGACTAAGTGCCTGCTTAGGCAAGCGCAGGGGCCAGGGTTTGACCCCCTGGTACTACAAGCCATGCCAGCCCCGCCCCTGGGCACACTGAGCTGGCCACCAGGACTGGGCATGGTGGTGCACACCTGTAATCCCACCACTGGGGAGGCTGAAAACAGGAGGATCACTACAAATCCAAGCTGTGTAGTGAGACCCTGTACCAAATACATAAAGGAAAAAAAAGAACATTCTCAATTCCCCACATCCAACAAAGAACAGACAAAACAAAAAGCACTGTTGACACTAAACAATGTTTCCTGAATACAAGCAAGCCACATCTGCCAAGCATACCCTGACACAGATACAGAACAAACCACACTCTCCCACACCTTACTATGTGTTTCTTCCTCTCTAAAACGGACACCATGATAAGCCCACCTCTTAGGGGTGTGGTGAGAATTAAGAACTCGAAAGCCTGACGCAGTCCCCAGCGCACAGGGCGCACAACAGCTTCCCATCCTTGATTCTCTTGCTCTGCCTACACAGGAACAGACAGACACGGGGCCAGCTACAGGCCTTGGGAAGCTAGGGTGTGGTGACACAGCCATGAGGCTGAAGTATGGCCCTGATGGGGACCCCATCTCTAGAACTGAGTTCAGTTCCATTCCATACATGCCAGGAGGCCACTCACCTACTTCACGTCACATACAGCAGCGGGTACCACGGTCAATCCTGCCTCAGTTAATGTAAGAAAGGCCCAGGGACATACACGTAAGTAAGCTACATCCTGCAATAACTGGTGATGATGGGTTCTAGGCTTCTTATGGGTATTTTAACAGAAATACAAATGCTGGCATTTAAATAACATTAAGTAAAAACTAGAAGAAACCACAAAAAGCCTCTATGTAAATTAACATAAGGAAGTGATTTGCTGGTGGCAGCCTTGGTGCCCATAACCTACAGGTTTTTCTGGTACATGTGTGACAAAAGGCAGAACAGAACTGTTATGCTTTGTGTCTAGATGTCCCCCCAAAGCCTCATGCAGTCATGGGGAGGGCTTCTAGAGTTTTTGATTGATTAATGGTCCAATGCTGGGATTATGGGTGTGGCTGCTGCACCCACCCTAGGGTGGGCAGCCTGCATACAACATAAGGGAAAGAGGCTTGCTTGTTGCGGCTTCTCCCTTTTTGCTCTAGCTGTCTGCTGCCACCAAGAAGGGCTTCCCTCTGCTGTGTACCACTCTGCCTTGGAGCCAGCTGAGTATGGACTGAACCCTCCACAATCCGTAAACTAAATAAACCTTTCCTTCCTTATATTTGGGTGTCAAGTACTTTGCTTCAATGAGAGAAAAGTATCCAAACCAAGAACCATCCTGTGAAGCCAATTAAGCAGCCTGGCACAAAAACCCAGGCAACAGCCGAGGGATGTAATTATGGACCCCCAAATTAAATGCTGTGAAATCTGACCATCATGTCACATGTCCCGCAGGAGGGGAGGACCCATGAGAATTCTCAGGGCTTCTTAATCCAGAAAAGAGATACATCCCAAGCAGCAACATGCTTCCTAGCTACAAACTGCAGGACCAGCCTTGGTCCTGCTCCCAGGGTTATAGGCAGCTGAATTAGATAGAAATATTATAGGCAGTCAGACAAGGCTGGGCCCTCACGGGGACAATATGGAAGGTAAGACCTAGCAACTGTGAGAGAGATCCACTCCCACTGTGGGCCAGACCTCAGGACAAAAGAGTAAACAAATGCATCCACGGATCTCTCTAGGGATGGGCATCACGGATTGATATTCTAAATAGGTATCATTCACCTTGAAAAAGCCAGGAGTCAGGGACCCAGAACAGGAAAGTCCCTGTTCTGTATTCCTGTCCACTAACTATTCCTGACTCACTTTCCCATATGATCCCAATTTAATCAATTTTACCTGAGGAATTAATCTTACTGGTGGACCATAGACCCAGTTCACCTCGTAGTTTTACTCTATAAAAATCTCTAGGAAAAGGGGCCGGGAAGATAACTCAATAGAATAAGCACTTGCTTGGTAAGTGCAAGGGCCTGAGTTCAATCCCGGGTTCCACCCCCCACAAAAAAAAAGAAAGAAAGAAAAAGAAAAATCCCTAGAAAAGGCAGATTCCTGGGCAACCCACTTGGGTGCCCTTCTGTCCTTCTCTTGGATAAAAGCTTTCTCTCCCTCAATAAATATTCTGCTCTTAACTTCCGTTGTTCCTAAAATTTATTCTTCCATTTTAGAGAACACAAACTTGCTCTAGGTATCTTTCAGGCTGGGAGTTTCATTCCCCTATATCACCAGGAAGCCCTGTACCCTTGTGGACACTGTGCCTACCTTGATCTGTCCAAAGCCAATGGTAACAGCAGCAGCGGAGGTGAACCCCTTTATGACAGGGCAGGAGACGAAGTCCAGCACAAACCCTGGCAGGCAAAAAGGAATGAAGACCCGACCCCAGTTCCTTTGGTTTCCATAGGATGGAGTGGGTGAAGGCTAGGAAAGGCGGCATGGATAGGACTGGACAACAGCTTAGGACCAAGGGGTGGCACACTCTATCTGGTTGGTCTGTGGTCCTGGCAGTTCTCCCAATATACTGGTTCTGCAGAGTAGAGAAGGCCTGGGATTGAGCATATCCCCCCCCGACACACACACGTACAAAGACACCCTTGGAACAGAGAGGGGGAAATGCTAAGGTCAAGGGCATTCCAGGGTGCCTTGGAACCCCAGGAAAAACAGAACTGAAGCCTCTTCACCCATTGCATGAAGACAGAGTCTTACCCAAATGCAGGAAACCCATGGTTAGCTGGATGCAGCCTGACAGGAAGGCCAGCAGCACAGCATAGGCAGGCTCGTGGAAGGTGTAGAAGGACACCAGGAGGGACATGATGGCTGTGGGGCCCAGAGTCACATCCCGGGAAGTGCCCAGGAAGAAGTACACAAAGCATCCCATGAAGGCAGAGTAGAGGCCATACTGTCAAGGAAAGACAGCTGTAAGCACCAGGAGGCCCCAGGCCAGTCCATCCATGTCCTGGTGTCCACGGGATATGTGGACAAGGGGCCTATTGGTGTTAACTATACCTGTGTACCCTGGCACACACAGGCAGGGCCAGCCACCTACCCTCCACTGACCACAGTGGTGAACCGGCCATGCACAGGGGCTGCTTTCTACCAGCACCAAGTGGGGCCTCAGGGTGCTGACACCAGGTGAAGTGGGGGTGAGGGAGACTCAAAGGCCAGTGAGCCCCAGGAGTGTTCTAAGGTCACCATGAGTCATCCCTCCAAACCACACAGATCAGCTCAGTGCCTGAAGGCAGTCACATGCTGCCAGTGGGTTATAGATGGAGTTCCTCGGGCCCCAGAGGTAGGACCAAGGCGTCTGGACTCCACACTAAGTACAAGCCTTCCTGTTCTGCATGCAGGTGGGGTCAGGCCATGGAGATGAGGGTGTGTCTGGCAGTGGGGTCAGACAGCTCACCTGGGGAGGCAGTCCTGCCACTTCTGCATAGGCCAGCGCCTGGGGAATGACCGTGAGGCCCACTGAGAGTCCAGCAATGAAGTCCATCTTCAGCCACTGCAGCGAGTACTGAGGCAGCCAGGCCAGGAAGGGCAGCCTCCTCTGCCAGGCTGAGACAGAGCAGCAGTAGGTGCGGAGGGCCATGTTGGAGCCGGGGGACCTGGCCTGACCCTGGGCCATCACTAGGGTGGGCCTGTGGCATGGGAGACAGCTGGTCAGGGGCTGAGCTTCAGAAGGCCCCCCAGCAATGCCAGGTAGGACCCATGGGCATCAAGAGCAGGTGCAGTGGGGTCTCAAGCCTGAGGGGCTAAGTTCCCCAGATGATCTGAGAGAAGCCCACAACTTGCACCAAGGGGACGGGGAGCCACCCTGTCCCCCTCATTCACTATCCTGGATACCACCTGCTCAAATCCTGGTGCCCCTCCTGACAACAACTCTCACAGGCAAAACCAAACCAACTACTTCTTCATTAGAACCCTAAGGAATTTCTCCTCCTAGCAGAATCTTTTTCCCCCCTCCAGGGAACCTAACGGAACAAACGCTGGGAGAAGCAGGGTCCCAGGGCCTCCACCCGCCCCAGCCTAGATGGTGGGATGCTCGGGTGGGCAGCCGGGGGATCCTGGGGGCCAGAGATCTACGTCCAAGCGCGAACCACCGCCGGTGCCACCCACGATTTCTGACGCCACACCTTACCCAGCCCCCCACCTGTGGCATTCAGAGTTCTAAAAGAGCCCGGGATTAGTTAAATGCTGAAGGATGTCAGGGGCTCCCAAATTAATCATGGTGGAGCAGTCCTGGCTCACTCCATCCTGCGCGCGGAGCCGGCTGCAGACCCCCTGCTTGACCCGCTGCACCTTTTGGACAAAATCAACCCTCCCCACCGCCACGATGTCGCCAGACACCCAGCCCTTGATCCAAGATGAGGACTCACGCTGGGACACCAGCTGACGGCGCTTGGAGAGAAGTCAAAGGTCACGGGGAGCCAGGGCGGGAGCGGTGTGCAGGGTCCCGCCGGAGAGCCGCCCCTCAGGTATAGCGGTGGCCCCGCACTGGCCGCCCCTGCCCAGGGCCGGTTCCCCACCTTTTGCTGGCGCAGACTCACCCAGGTGCCACAGCTCGGGAATCACCCAAGTCGCCGAGGGCGGGTCGGCAGGAACTTAGGGAAGGAGTAGGCGGGGCGGGCGGAGCACGTGATGAGGCGGAGCTGGGCTGCAGACTCAGCGGCGGACGCCATGCGCTGCGCAGGGCCTCTTTGCTGCGCGCCGCTGCTGCTTCTATTCCTGGGGCTCTGCGGCGCGCGCCCCCGGAACGTGCTGCTGATCCTCGGTGAGTGCCGTCGCCCTCCCATGGCCACTGGTGATTGCCGCTAAAGCAGGCCATGCGACCCGTTCCCCCAGTGGTCAGTGCTGACCCCAGCATGCCCAGCCCTTGGTGGCCCACGGCCACTCCCATCCCGTGCTGTTGCCCCTAGACTCTTCATTCTTGTTCCTTAGAGCGTAAGGCAGGTCCCAGAGGGATCAGTCCATCGCTCAGAGCGCCTACTTTGGCTCACCCCAGGTCTGACCCGGCACCCCTGCCCATCCCCAGAGCAGCCAAGGCCACTTTGTGAATCCCCAGGTTGGTGTGCTGAGCGGCTTAGTAGAGCTCACAGCGCCACAGGTTCCACGAGGGACTGGGACATGGGGCTGGGATTCTCTGGGCTCCCCTTTCTAGCTTGGCCTTTCCGTTTTCAGACCCCAAGAGGGCTGTTTAGGCCAAATGCATGGCCCCCACTAGGCGCACTTCTCCCCCCAGCCTCTGTTCCCTTCAGAAACCCCAGCTTACTGTAACACCCTTCTGTTCACAAGACTTCCTGTTTGGGTGACCAGGGCATGTGACAACCCAAACCCTCTTGGCATCTGGCTCCCTGCCAGACCCACTGTTTCTGATTAATTTTGTGGTCTCTGGGCAGCCCTCAGCTGATTGTAACACACACAGCTCCCTTGCCCAGCCCCTACAGGGCCCTACCCTGCAGGAAGAAAGAATCTGCCCTACGTCCCCCATCCTGCTGGGACCGTTATTAAGACTGAGCCTTCCAGAGCCCAGAAGCTACTGTTCCCAGAATAGATGCTGTGTTACTTGGGGCAGCATACCCCAGACCAGCAGTCCTATATACAGAAATTCTTTTCTCACGCTTCTGGAAGCTGAAAGTCCACGGTCAGGTGCCAGCTTGGTGAGGGGTCTCTTCCTGGTTTGCAAAGGATCAGTTTCTCATTGTGTCCCCATGGGCAGGGAAAGACCCCAGTCCTATTAGACTGGACCCCACCCTGATGACGGATTTCGTTTAACTTTCATTAAAGTCCCCATCAACAAACCAGGTATTCTGGTGCACATCTTTAATCCCAGCCACTTGGGAGGCCAGGGCTGGAGGATTACAAGTTTGAGAGCAACCTGGACTACATAACAAGACCCTATCTCAAGATATAATTAAAAGGGCTGGGACTGTAGCTCAGTGATAGAGTGCTTGGGCAGCAGGTTCCAGGCCTTGGATTGGGTTTAGTTTCCTGTGCTGAAAACAAGCTTGCAGCGCGTGCGCTCGCACACACCCACCCCTCATGGATACACACTGGAGGTGAAGCTTCAGCCTAGGAATTTGGGGTGGACAGATTTCAGTACGTAGCAGGACCACAGCCAATTACTAAGACTCCTGACTGGGTTTGGACAGGGCAGTCTTCCTCCTGGCATGCATCAGGCTGCCACCAAAAAAGCATGGTGCCAGTATCCCTCTTCCAACCTGCTTGGCTGCCATTGGCTTGTGGCCAGTGGGCCCAGAGTAGAGGAGGTATTCTGCCCGTGGAAGGCTTTGCCTTCAAGGCAGGTGGGACAAATGCCTGCAGATCCTCAGACTGCTCCAGGTAGGGCTGTCCTGGCCCGGGATCACCCAGCATGCACCTTGTTGGTGCCCAGCTGCTGACACGTCCCCTCATGTGAATCCACACTGGGGCATCATGCATGCTCCCAGGCCTGAGTCATACCCGACCTGGGCTCAGGGCTTCCCTTTCCCTTGGTCTTCTGGGTATCACTGGCCCAAGGTTTGCAGCAGGACCCCAGGTCTCCCCCACAGGCTATACTGCATCACCCCCAGCCCACTGAATCCTGTCTCCTGCCTCCCACAGCGGATGATGGAGGATTTGAGAGTGGTGTGTACAACAACAGTGCCATTGGCACCCCTCATCTGGATGCCCTGGCACGGCGCAGCCTCGTCTTCCGCAATGCCTTCACCTCTGTCAGCAGCTGTTCCCCCAGCCGGGCCAGCCTCCTCACGGGCCTGCCCCAGGTGAGAGGGGCTGAGGCAGAAGGAGGGCACAGGAGGGGGCCTGGGGCTCTCCTGCCCTGCCCACTTTCCATCCCCAGGGGCAGCCCCAGGCATGATCTCGAGCGCAGACCAGGGCCCACCTGTCCCCACCATCAGCAGAGCTGGCTCTTCCACTTCTCCAGCTTCCTCTTTCTGTGCCTTAGTTTCCTCATCTGTAAAATGGAAGACACGGTCAAATGTTACCCACAGAGACATCATGGGGTTGGCTGAGCACGGCTGTGTGCATGAAGTGCACAGCACAGGGCCGGGGATATAGCTCAGTGCTATATAGCTCACCTGCCCGGCAAGTGCCAGGTCCTGAATTTGATTCCTGGTACAAAAAAAAAAAAAAAAA